AAAGTAGAGGGACAGTGAAAAAGAGGAAGGCCTTCAAAGAGATGTATTGACACTGTGGCTGCAACAATGAGTTCAAGCATAGGAAAAATTGTGGGGATGGCACAGGACCAGGCTGTGTTTTATTCTGTTCTGCATCGGGTATCCATGAGTTAAGAACCAACTCAGTGCCATCTAACAACATCAACAACAGAGTGTTGTTAGGAGTCAATTTTTAAAAAATTTAAATCATTTTATTGGGGGCCCATACAGCTCTTATCACAGTCCATCCATCCATCCATTGTGTCAAGCACATTTGTACATATGTTGCTATCATCATTTTGAAAACATTTTCTTTCTACTTGAGCCCTTGGTATCAGCTTAGTTTTCCCCAATCCCCCCCCCCACCCCCACTTCCTCATGAACCCTTGATAATTTATGATTTTTTTTTCACGTCTTACACTGCCCACTGTCCCCCTTCACACACGTTTTTGTTGTCCCTCCCCCTGGGAGGGGGTTATATATGTAGATCATTGTGATTGGTTCCACCTTTCTACCCCCATCTTCCCCTTACCCTCCTGGTATCACTACTCTCATTATTGGTCCTGAGGGGTTTATGTGTCCTGGATTCCCTATGTTTCCAGCTCTATCTGTACCCGTGTACAGACTCTGGTCTAGCTAAATTTGTAAGGTAGAATTGGGGTCATGATAGAGGCAGGGAGAAAGTTAGATCTCTCTGGGGATAAATCTACCTCCGTCTTTGGCTCCGCGTGAGAACGAATTCACGCCCAAACCTCTTTTGTGATCCAGGTGAGTTTATGAGCGTTAGAAGTTTTAGGTTTAAACAGGCATCCACAGGGCTCCCGAACATGCAGCCTGCCTGGAAACTGCTCCCAAAGCCACGCAGTCGACTCCGGGCAACTGCCTTTTCAATTATTCTGCAGGGAGGCATGGTGGACGACCCTTGGTCGATCCCATTGGCTGAATTGAATTAGGTGGGCCAATCCAGATGCAGCACTCACCCACAAGTACCTGGCGGGGAACTTGAACCTCTGAGCATGTGCAGTGTGCCACTCCTTTGTTTCCGTACCTTGGCCCTCTGGGCATGCGTTGTGGACACTCCAGTCCCTGAGCTAGACTACCTAACAAAAGCATTAAAGAATTAGAGGAAAGTTGTGTGTTTCATCGGTGCTATACTGCACCCTGACTGGCTCGTCTCTTCCCTGTGACTCCTCTGTGAGGGGGTGTCCAATTGTCTACAGATGGGCTTTGGGATTCCACCTCGCTCTCCCCCTCATTCACATCTATATGATTGTTTGTTCTGGGTCTTTGATGCCTGATTTCTGATCCCATCGACACCTCATGATCACACAAGCTGGTGTGCTTCTTCCATGTGGGCTTTGTTGCTTCTCACCAAATGGCTGCTTATTTATCTTCAAGCTTTTAACATCCCAGACACTATATCTTTTGATAGCTGGGCACCATCAGCTTTCTTCACCACATGTACTTATGCACCCATTTTGTCTTTAGCAATCATGTCAAGAAGGTGAGCATCACAGAATGCTGGTTTATTAGAACAAAGTGTTCTTGCATTGAGGGTGTACTTGAGTAGAGGCCCAATGTCCGTCTGCTGCCTTAATACTTAACATATAAATATACTGACATAGATCTATTTCTCTATCATTATATATAAATATATTTGCATATGTATATACCTATATTTAGACCTCTATAAATGTCCTTTGCCTCCTAGTTCTCTCCTCTATTTCCTTTTACTTTCCTCTTGTCCCACTATCATGTTCGACCTTCATTCAGGTTTCAGTAATTCCTCTTGGCTACATTGCCCTTGATCAAGCCCCACCAGGCATCCTATGCTCTTCTTGCCGTTGATTTTAGATCAGTGTTGTTCTCTTGTCCCTGGGTTTGTTGACACCCCCCCCCCCCCCTTACTTTCCACCCAGTCCCCCTCACCTGTCTCTCCCCTACCCACCTCCCACCCCAACCATCACTCCATTCTTTGCTCCTCCGGATTGTTTATCCCACCTGTCTGATCTAGATAGCCATGCAGAGACAATAATAAGCATAAAACAAGACAGCAAAACAAAGCAACAAAAGAAAACAACAAAAACCAAAGACAAAAGAGAAAAGCCTATAAATAGTTCAAGATCTGTTTGATGACCGTTAGGAGTGTTTTCTGGTTGAGTCTAATGGGGGTGTCACGCCGTGACCCCAAGGTCTATTTTTTATATTCCCTGGGGACTTCATTGCTTTGCTTCCCTTGCTGCTCTGTTGCACGCCCTTAGTGTTTTGTGCAGGTGTGGTGGGATCAGATCAGGCACAATTCCCTCACTGTGTCTCCAGTGTTGTCCCCCATAGAGCTCTGGGTCTGTGAGAGATGTCATGTCTCGTGGTGGGGTCAGCCCTATGGTCCTCTCTGTGCATCTGCTGCTCTGAGCAGGAATATCATCCTTGGGGCTTGGTGGGCCAGGATGTGCTCCTCTCTCTCTCCTTCCTTCTTTGTTTGCTCCTGTGCGCTCTGATCAGATGCACCCCACTGCTGAGCTGTAGCTTCAATGCTGTCCTCCAAAGTGCATTCTTCTGGTATGTGTGTGTGGCATTCCACGTGGTTGGGATTGGGGCCAGCCCCACAGACCTCTCTTGGTTCCCTGCTTCATGCCACTATGTTGCATTCATGCGTCTTGGCGCATCGGATTGAAGTGTGGTCCTTCTCTCCCTGTGAGTCAAAATTTAATCTATGGCATTGAGTATGGTTATATAAATTTGTAGCAATACCTTTTTTACTTATCCTCATGTGTATTTATGTCATTTGTTTTCTAAAGATTACCCTTGAGTTTACATTATACATGGATAAACAAAACAAATCAATTTTGAAATGACTGTATATTGCTTCATGAGTAGAGCAAGTACCTTATAACAATCCAAAGTCAATTACAACTTCTTGTTCCTTATAATATTTTCATGTCAGTTATTAGTCATTTCTAATCATTGCATCTATTATGGCTTGTTATTATATTTAACTTTAATGTCTGCTACATTAATAAGAAAGTGGGTGCTGTGGAGTTGGTTCTCTTAGTGACCTGTGTACAGCAGATTGAAACACTGTGCCATCTTCACAGTAATCTCTATGTTTGAGCCTATTGTTGCAGCCACTGTGGCAATCCATACTATCAAGGGCATTTCTCTACCAACCATTTCTTCTTCCAGGGACTGATCTCTCCTGATAACATGTCTATGCTAGGCTAAGATATCTAGAGAAATAAATCAAGTAATATTCCTTGTGTATAAGAAAGAGTTTTACATCAAGATGAATCTAAAGTCTGCTGAATGAGTTTGAGGTTGGCAGTCTCCTAATGGTTCCTAGGGTCCACAGGCAAAACAACAGGAAGTTGATAACTAGATGCAGGATAAGGCCAAGGCGTAACAGAGAGCTCAGTTCCGCTCAGGGTCTCTCTTTCACAAAAGACCACACCCACAGAGGTATCATCAGGCTGTCACCTGATTGATAGGTTGTACTCCACCCTTAGCTTCACCCCAGATATATCCAGTTGACATAAAAATCTATCATACTTGCCATCCTTGCTACTAAGGAGCATTCTGCCTTTACTTCTTTATGAACAGACTTGTTTCTTTTGGTAGTCCACAGTATTTTCAATATTCTTCACCAACACCATCATTCAAATGAACCAATTTTTCTGTAGTCTTCCTTATTTGTTGTCCAGATTTCACCTCCCTATACCGATGATGTGATGAAAAGTGCCATGTTTTGGATCAAGCTTACCTTAAACCGCTGGACTCAGGGAGCCTTAAACCAAGAACTCAGGGAGCCATCTTGCCCTGCGTCTCCATGTGTTCCATTGCCTGGCTAATCAAACTAAACCCTCTTTCAGTTCGGGACATTGTATGTTTCTTTAGATGCAATGAGCAACTTTGGCACATTTTTCTCTCTGCGTCTTGCATTTGGCTTTCCTCTGCCAGGCTTTAAGTTGTTAATTGGCAGCCTGTCACCTTATCTGGTCCTCTAGTTTCTGCAGCCTTCTGAGAGTCAACAACACTGATTTGGTTTGAATGAGAAGGATCCTCCAGGCAGAGCTTTGAACTTCGGATTTGGGATTTGCCAGCCACGTGAGCCATTTCCTTAATGGTTTGAGTTCTGTGAGAAGTTGCAGTCAACTGGGACATAAGGGAATATGCTAAGGTATATGTAGAAGTTAAACCAGTGATGCTGAATGTATAAGGAAATTTATATCAGGAAAATGACTCACGGTTTTAAAAGCAGTCAACCTCAAGCCCATAGAAGTACCAGGTTTGTGGATCAGATGTCAGACTGGTGACTTGTGACTCATGTAGCTATGGGGTTGGTGTAATTTGACATTAACCCTGACCTCAAAATCATTTTCCCCCCCACCCATATCACAAAAGCATCCTGACAAATGTATTCCTGAGAGAACTTGTCTGAAACCTTTCGTTGATTGAAGAGACACGTTTAAACACTTTTTTTGTTGTTGTTTTGAAAAAAACCTATTTATGAACTGGAACCCAAATAGCAATATTTTTTTTTAACTTTACCCTTGTAGAGACTATGGTAACACTGAAACGGTTATAGTAACACAGGAGACATAAGTTCACTGCGTTAGAAATTGAGGAAATAGTGTTGGTGGTCACTTCTATACCAGCTTAGGGCAGTAGCCACAAAACCAAGGTCAGAAATACACCCATTCAACCACAAACCATGCATCCCTTACACTTGTAGAAAGGAATAAAATGGAGGCTGATCAATAGTTAAACTATATAAAACCCAGTGTGTTACAAATTTTGTTAAATCTATGTAATAAGGTACTACCAGTCACAAGTGAAAGTGCAAACCACAAAGGAAAAGTGGAGTACACAAACTTTTTATGATCTTCCTGTTAATTCTCGATTCTTTTGGACTGTCATCCTCACCCACCCTTTGCACACCTTGAGGAATATGGTGCAATATCTCAGAATATCTGTGATGTTTTTAGGACTCATTGGTATTTGAAGATGTGGCCATCGACTTTACACAGGAAGAGTGGGCCTTGCTGGATTTTTCTCAAAGGAAACTTTACAGAGACGTAATGGTGGAAACATTCAGGAACCTGGATTCGAGTAAGGATGGCTTCTTTTTTTTTTCTTAATTTATGTATATGGATATAGTATATATGTATTTGGATCCTTGGGGGTGTAGTGGGTTGCACTTTGGGCTGCCAACCAGCTGCTCTGCAGGAGAAAGAGGAGGCTTTCATTCCTGTAGAAATTTGCAGTCTAGGAGCTAGACTCTTCCACACATATCTGAGCTGGCTTGTTTTCATTTTTCAATTTTCTGCTGCCTTCTGTGCTTATGGGAAAAATCCTTCCCCATTTCATCTTTTAATAATAATTTTACATATACATGCATTGTTTGCAATACCTTTCAGTTTTTCAATCCAAGTTATACCCTAGTTCAGTTACCATCACTCTGAATCATCACAGAATTAATTCTCAGTAAATTTCTTATCCTTTGGCCTTTACCAAACTTCTGGAATAGTAAAAAGCTTCAGTTGTTCATTCTTCACAGATGCCTTGTTACTCGTCAAATTTCTTGCCTATTTTGCTTTATATTGTGAAACTTCATTTTAAATTATTGGTTAGTCTCTTCGCAGGGTAATGATGGACAAAAGTGCAATGAGCATACAGTGAAGCAATTCATGAAGAATGACTCCTGGTTGTCCATGTTAGGAGAAATCTGTGAATTCCTTGGGAATGAAAATTATGTCAACCAGGAATGGCCTTTGAGGTATCATACCCATGACATTAAGCAATGTCTCAGGAGATAGTCTCAATGTGCCATGGTGTTTGCAAGCACGCATGTGACCTTGTGTTTCTAAAACTAACTAAATGTTGTTTCCGTTAATTTTCACAATACAGTATTTATATAAATGTGAATCAGATAGTGTGTATTTGAGAGTACACATATTATCAAAAAGCCCCACTATCTGGCACACTCTGAGATATTGAAACATGATACAAGTTGGCAGAAAATGCCCATTCAGTTTTGTATGATAATTTTTAAAATGGTAAAAGATGTAATTCTAACAACATCCTCCCTATTTTCAACAGAAAATGTATGATAGAGAATTTCCATACAAGCAAAGAAGATAATGTGAAGAAATATAAAGAGGATGATCAGTGTGGAAAACTTTTCAATTGGACTGAAAATCTTTCTAGGGTCAAGGAAACTCCTGCCAGTGTAAATCCTTTAGAATTTCATGAGAGAGGTGGTCATACATTGAATCATTGCATCAGATCTCACACTTGTATGATTTATGGAGAAACTTACAGTTGTCTGTCTTATCTGAAACCTCATTCAAAAGAGGAATTTTGTAACTGCGTAGCTTTTGGGAAACCTTGTAGTTGTTCATCATCCTTCACTAAATATAAAAGAACTCACAGTGCAGATATACTTTATGAATGTAAGGAATGTGAGAAAGCCTTTAATCATTCCTCAACACTTACTGATCATACAAGAATTCACAGTGGAGACCGGCCTTATGAATGTAAAGAATGTGGGAAAACATTTGTTTATGCTTCATCTCTTGCTAAACATAAAAGAACCCACAGTGGAGAGAGGCCTTATGAATGCAAAGAATGTGGGAAGGCCTTTTGTAGCCCCTCAGCACTTTCTGAGCATACAAGAATTCACAGTGGAGAGCGGCCTTATGGATGTAAACAATGTGGGAAGGCATTTATTAATGCTTCAGCCCTTGCTAAACATACAAGAACTCACAGTGCAGAGAGGCCTTATGAATGTAAAGAATGTGGGAAAGCCTTTAGTCTCTACTCACACCTCACTGAACATAAAAGAACTCACAGTGGAGAGAAGCCTTATAAATGTAATGAATGCGGGAAAGCTTTTAGTCGTCTCTCAATACTATCTGATCATATAAGAACTCACAGTGGGGAGAAACCTTATAAATGTAAGGAATGTGGGAAAGCCTTTTGTCATCCCTCAGCACTTACTGAACACACTAGAATTCACAGTGGGGAGAGGCCTTATGAATGTAAAGTGTGTGGGAAAGCATTTATTTATACTTCATCCCTGGTTAAACATAGAAGAACTCACAGTGGAGAGAGGCCTTATGAGTGTAAAGAATGTGGAAAAGCATTTACTCAGTATGCACACCTTACCGTACATAAGAGAACACACAGTGGAGAGAGGCCGTATGAATGTAAAGAATGTGGGAAAGCCTTCACTCAGTACTCACACCTAACTGAACACAGAAGAACACACAGTGGAGAAAGGCCTTATGAATGTAAGCAGTGTGGGAAAGCTTTTAGTCGTCTGTCAGCACTTACTAATCATACAAGAATTCACAATGGGGAGAGACGTTACAAGTGTAAAGAATGTGAGAAAGCCTTTACTCAGTACTCACACTTAATTGAACACAGAAGAACACAGTGTGGAGAGGTCTTATGGATGTAAGGAATGTGGAAAAACCTTTAGTCATCTCTCAGCACTTACTGATCATATAAGAATTCACAGTGAAGACAGGTATTATGAATGTAAAGAATATGGGAGAGCCTGTAGTCAAGTTCTTCATGCCTCAAACATAAAAGAACACATAGAGAAACCTTGTAGATGTAGGGGATTGTTAACATTTATATAGGCCATATCTCACACAACACTATAAGTAACTCAGTTCAAAGAGGCTCTGTATAAAGGGATATGAGAAAGCTTTTGTTATTCATCAAGGAACACGTGTAGAATTATTAACAAGTGTGGTAGAGAATGAATTCCTTTCACATGCCGCACTAGGCATATAAGCACTCCCAGCTGACTGTGTAAGGAATGAAAGAAACTGCAGTTTCCCCTGAGTTTCCCAAAGATGTGTGAGAATATCCATCAGAAAAAAGACATGTAGACACAGGTTGGGAAACTTGGAGTCATACCTTTGCAAAACCTAAAAGAAAGTGTGTGTGATAGATAACCAAGTATTGTAAAGAAAATGTTAGGAAAGTTTTTACTTCCAGTCCTTTCCAAGGTGGTGAAGATTCACACACAGATCAAAGTCTTCACTAATTAAATCTCCTCAATATATGAAAATTCTCATGTAAAATAAACCATTATGTAACAGATCAATGGTGTTTTAGAGTTCTTACAAAACATAAGCTATAACACTGTAGATTGTGCCTATTGAATGTAAAAAAGAGGAAATTTTTAGTGTCCCTTTTTTCTCAGTACCCTTATGAGATCTCACAGATAAGCTCTGGGATTGGAAGCAAATTACCCTTTTAATTGTATCACTTGACTTTGAATGCCCATCAAAATGTCATTTTACTTTTGTTATATTCAAATTGCCTTGATTGGAAAATTGTCGACCTTTATTTTTGAAGTTTTTTTACTTTTTCACGTTCTAATGTATTATCAAATTTTTAGTTTAACAACATCATTAAAAACCACAGACCCAACTTAGTATCCCACCACAGTTGTTATTTGTTTCTTTATTGTTGTTTTAATGAATCATTTTATTGGGGGCTCTTACAACTCTTAGAACAATCCATCAATTGTATCAAGCACATTTGTACATATGTTGCCATCATTTCCAAACATTTTCTTTCTACTTCAGCCCTTTTTAAAAATTGTTTTATTGGGGGCTCGTACAACTCATCACAATCCATCCATCCATCCATTGTATCAAGCACTTTTGTACATTTGTTGCCATCCTCATTCTCAAAACATTTGCTTTCTACTTGAGCCCTTGGTTTCAGCTCCTCATTCTTCCCCTCCCTCCTGCCCCTCCCCCCATGGACACTTGATATTTATAAATTATATTTTTCATGCCTTACACTGTCTGATGTCTCCCTTCACCCACTTTTCTGTTGTCCGTTCCCCCCCACCCCCAGGGAGGGGATTATATGTAGATCCATGTACTCAGTTCCCCCTTTCTACCCCACCTTCCCTCCACCCTTCCGGTATCACCACTCTCACCACTGGTCCTGAAGGGTTCAACTGTCCTGGATTCCCTGTGCTTCTAGTTCCTACCTCTACCAGTGTACATCCTCAGGCCTGGATGGATTTGTAAGGTGGAATTGGGATCATGATAGTGGTGGGGGGGGTGGGGGAAGAAGCATTTAAGAACTAGAGGAAAGTTGTATGTTCCATTGCTGCTACACTACACGCTGACTAGCTCGTCTCCTCACAACCCTTCTGTAAGGAGATGCCCAGTTGCCTACTGATGGGCTTTGGGTCCCCACTCTGCATTCCCCTCATTCACAATTATATGATTTTTTGTTCTTTGATTCCTGATCCTGTCAGTACCTTGTGATCACACAGGCTGGTGTGCTTCTTCCATGTGGGCTTTGTTACTTCTGAGCTAGATGGCCACTTATTTACCTTCAAGCCTTTAAGACCCCAGACAATATATCTTTTGATAGCCCGACTCCATCAGCTTTCTTCAGCACATTTGCTGATGCACCTGCTTTGTCTTCAGTGATCTTGTCAGGAAGGTAAGCATCATGGAATGCTAGTTTAATAGAACAAAGTGCCCTTGCATTGAGGGAGTACTTGAGTGGAGGTCCAATGTCGCATCTGCTACCTTAATACTAAACCTCTAAATATATGCACATAGATCTATTTCCCCATCATCATATATAAATATATTTACGTAAGTACATGCCTTTATTTAGACCTCTATAAATGCCGTTTGCCTCCTAGTTCTTCTCCAGTTCCTTTTACTTTCTTCTTGTCCCACTATCATGCTCAGCCTTCACTTGGGTTTCAGTAATTCCTCTCGGTTACATTGCCCTTGATCAAGCCCCACCAGACCTCTTACACTCTCCTTGCCACTGACTTTGGATCACTTGTTCCCTTGTCCCTGGGTTTGTTAATACCACTTCCTTTCTCCCGCCTCCCCCTTTCCCATGTTCCCCCAGAGCCATTGGTTCTGTAGTTTTCTCCTCCAGATTGTTTATCCAGCCTATCTAGATCTGCAGAGATAATAATATGCACAAAAACGACAGCAAAACAAAGCAACAAAAGAAAACAGAACAACAACAAAAATGACACACAAAAAAAAGAAAGGCCTGTAAATAGTTGAAGGTCTGTTTGTTGACCTTTAGAAGTGTTTTCTGGTGGAATCTGATAGGGTGACATGCCCTAGCCCCAAAGTCTATTTTTACTATTCCCTCGGGACTTCCTTGCTCTGTTCCCCTTGCTGTTCCGTTGCATGTCCTTAGTGTTTTGCCTCTGTATGGGGTCAGATCAGGTGCAATTCACACAGTGTGTTTCCAGTGTTGTCTCCTATAGGTTAGTGAGGGATGTTTTCTTTAAAATTCTATCTACTAATTATATATGTAGTTCTGTTGTGAACATCCTTTGGGATTCTATCAATTGTTTAAAACCATTATGATTCTTATTTTACTGGTAAAATTGAAAATATGTGGTTTGATAAATGTCCCTCACAAATCATGGTGTAAGAAAAACTCTAAACTCACTGCCATCCAGTGGATACTAACTCATAATGACCTATAGGACAGGGTAGAACTGCCCTCGCCAGTTTCTAGGGCTATGATCCTTTACAGGAGTAGAAAACCCCATCTTTCTGTTGAGCAGCTGGTAGTTGCGAACTGCCAACATTGCAGTTAGCAGCCCAACTGTTGCCATTATGCCACCAGAGCACCTGTAGTATAAGTAGGATTACAATTGATGAATGCCTCAATTTGGGGTTCCACATGGTCAAACAGCTTGACCTAGCTGGAACGGACCATCACTACAGCTGCCTTGTTGGGTGCCATCAAGTCAGTTCTGACCCATGGCAAGCCTGCATGACACAGAACGACCCACTGCCCGGTCCTGCGCCACCCTCATAATTGTTCTTATGCCTGAGCCCATGGTCGCAGCCACCGAGTCACTCCGTCTCGTGGAAGACCTTTCTCTTGCTGCTCCTCCACTTTACCAAAGATCATGTCCTTCAGGGACTGTTCTCTCCTGGCAACATATCCAAATTATGTGAGACAAAATCTCACCATCCTTGCCTTTAAGGAGCCCACTGGCTTTACTTCTTCCAAGACAGATCAGTTTGTCATTTTAGCAGTCAGTGGTACTTTTAATATTCTACCCCAGCACAATTCAAATGCATCAGTTCTTTGGTCTTATTCAGTACCCAACTTCCACGTGCATATGAGGTACTGGACAATGCCATGGCTGTGTCAGATGCACCTTAGTCTTCAAGGTAGCATCCGTGTTTTTCAGTGTTCTAAAGAAGTCTTGCACATCAGAGTTACCTAATGCAACTTGTCTTCTGATGTCTTTACTCCTGCTTCTGTGAGCATTGATTGTGGATTTAAGCAAGACAAAATCCTTGACAACTTAAATCTTTTCTCCATTTCTCATAATGTATCCTATTGAACCAGTTGTGAGGATTTTGGTCTTTACATTGAGTCGCAGTCCATCCTGAAAGCTGCAATCCTTGATCTTCATCAGCAAGTGCTTCAAGTCCTCCTCACTTATAGCAAGTAAGGTTGCATCATTTTCATATTGAGCAGGTTGTTATACTCCTTGCCCCAAATCCTGATGCACATACTTCATAACATCTAGTTTCTCTGATAGTTTGCTCAACATACAGTGAATTAGTCTGGGTAGACTAGAGAAACAAATTCACAGACACTCATATGTATATAAGAGAGAGTTTTATACAAAGGGTAACTACATTAAGACAGCATCCCAACCCAGTGCATTCCAAGCCCATAAGTCCAACAGTAGCCCATATGTTCAACACTGATCTACACAGTACTCTCAATCTAACAAAACACACACAATGATGCTGACAACAGGTGGAAACACGAATCAGTGAGCATGTAAGCATCTCAGTGCTGGTAGGGGTCTCCACACAGCTGCTCCAGCACCCAGGGCTGCATCAGGGTAGGTCCATGTAGCTTCTTAGGGATGTATTGCAGGAAGTGAGCCCTGCCAGCTGAAGCAAGGAACTGGCTAAGGCAGTTGCATCCTGGTCCAACCATCAGAGAGCAAGAGACCTGAGAACCAGAAAGGCAAGGCTCACAGAGCCTTTTATCTCTCCGCCCTTCAATTAATCCCACGTGTTTATCAGCCAGCTTGGCACAATAAACCTTAACTCTCTCATACAGAAAGAATAAGTATGGTGAGAAGATACAACCCTGATGCACACTTCCTGATTTTAGTCCGTACAGCCAACTTAGATCTATCTGTGACCCTTGAAACCTAACCACTGAATTCAACCACCCTAACCCCTTAACCTCTTCACTCCAACCCCATAACCTTAACCCCTAACTTCACCCTCACCACCCTAAATAACCCAAAAAATACCTAACTGCCAAAATGCTAATTGTTAACTTCTACAATCCTTAACAGGAGCTCTCAACAGTAATTAAACTATAACCTCTAACTCATTAATTCTAACCCTAGTGCCTTAACCTGCTAACCATAAACCCTAACTCTAAACAATCCTAGCAGTAAATCTATAACCCTAGGCCTCCAAAAACTTTCTAGCCCTGACTCTTGCCCTGTAACCTTAATCACCTAACCTTTACATCTTAACCCTAAAAACCTAAATGCTAAAACCCTAACATGCTAACCCTTAAACCTCAATCTTTTAACCTTCATGCTAAACCAAAAACTAAGCCTTTTATTCCAACCCTAAACTTCTAACTGTAACCTTGAACATCTAACCCTCTAGCCCTACTATCCTAATGCCCTAACTATGAAATATGAAACACATCTTAACTTCTTACCCTTACCACGACAACTTTTCACTCCCAGCTCCTAACTGCCAAGCCTATAAGCCCCCAAACCATTAACACTGAACTCTAACCCTAAGCGTCCAACACTAACCTCGATTCCGGACATAAAACTACTAACTGTAACCCTCTAATACTACACTAACCTAATCCCATAACTCTAATCTTTACACCCTAATATTAATGTGCTGCCCCTGAACTGCTAAAAACCTGAAATCATAAAACTCTAACTCTAACCATAATATCTAATTCTAGGCCTCACTCTAAACCTGTCCCTTAACCTTGTTCTAGCCTTGGCTAACCCTAGCCCTTTGATTTAAATCCTAGCCTTCTAATCTAGCCATTTTACCCTAAAAGTAATCCTAATCTAGCCATTTAATCCTAATCTAGCCATTTTACCCTAAAAGTAATCTAATCTAGCCATTTTACCCTAAAAGTAATCCACTCACCCTAACTCTCTAATGCTAATGTTAACTTTCTAAACCTCTATCCATAACCATAAACCCATTACTATAATCCTTCCCTAACCTCTTAATCTTGACTCGCATCCTAATTCTAACCTTAACCCCATAACCATAACACTCTGTATTAGACTGGTTTGTCTAGACAAACAAAACCAGTGGCATACATGTATGAATAGGGAACTTTATATTGAGAAGGCATCCCAACCCAGTCCACTCAATTACATGCATCTGATTCTAGCCTGGGCCCTCTTAAGACTCATGTAGCTACTGGCTGATGATGCAGAAAGGTGAAGCAGGAATCAGATCATACTGAGTTTAAAGTCCCATGGATTCAAGGTAAGTGGCAAGATGGCAAGGCACCAACAGCTTTCCAGTTGGTGGCCTATGGGGCCATCCTGGGAGGCAGACATGGTCCCAGCAAGCAAGAAGGCCAAAGGCCAGAGAGGCAGAGAATTTCTCACTTTCTTATGAAAAGACTACACCCCTAAGGAGGCATCATTAGGCAGTGACCTAATTGATAGGTTGGTCTCCAGCCCTACACTTTCACATAGGGTCAAGTTGACATAAAATCTAACTGCACGCAACCTAACCCTAAACCTAAAACATTAACAGTTATACCTAATCCCTAACCCCTCAGTATACTACAACCCAATAACTCTTTAACTCCTGCTTGGGGCCCACAGCCTCTCGTGCTCTCACTCTCTTGCCCCCATGCTCTGGTCCCCTCGCTCTCTGACTTCCATGGCCTATTGACCCTTGATCCCTCGACCCCTCGGTCCCTGGGATCCTCCCACCCCCATTCCTCATGTGTGGGTGCTCTTTTCATGAGGTTGCTCATGCCCAGTTGTGAACCACTTTGAGACTGTAACTCCTGAAACTTATCTGGTCCTTCATAAAAATCCACTTGCATTACAAAATGGGCTTTGGCATGAATTCTGTCACTGTGTGAAGCCAAGAACTGAGGTATTATCCACTCGAGAAACCTAACAGTGCCAGACACACATAATTGTAGGCAGACTACTTTGGCATTAAATTTCCAAGTGACTATTCCTTATCGATCATATTAGTGACTGGGAAGGCTAGAGGGGCCACTCTGACTGAGCAGGGTACAAGAAGCAATGAACATTATAAGCTCATGTTGGGAACTGTCATGGATCAGGCAGAGTCTGAGTGATGGAGAGGACATGGCATGGCCCTGGACTCTGCCCTGTCCCCCCTGGAATGCTAACAGTTAAAGCTCATGATATTGTGTTTGACTTTTGGCAAAGGTTTGACGGCTGGCATGGGAGGAACTAGGAAGGCTTCCTGAGAACGAAACGCTCTCTGAGCTTGTTCCTAGTTACAGCGATTAATTAGGCACGGTCCAGCCAAGCACGACTTGGTGATTGTGTTCAAGCATAACTGCTTTCTTCTGAAATAGTATAAACACAGAGTGTGTAAAAAATAAGTTTGCTGGTGCCTTGTGCCAGTCCTCCCAACCCCGTTGTTCTGTCTTTCTTTATTCCCACTCCACCTCTTACCGTCGTCGTAGACCCTATGCAGGTGCGGGACACCGCAAGCTCAGACTGTCCTCATGGAAGTGGGCAAAGCAGAAAACCAAAGCAAGCACACTGCCTCAAATGGATTCTGATCACAGTGAGGCTGTAAGACAAGGTACAACAGTCTCTGTGGGTTTCCAGGACTGTAACTCTGTGTCTCTCTCTCTCTCTTTTTTTAAATTTTAGGTTAGCTTATTTATTTTCTTTCTTTAAAAAAAAGCATTTTGTTGGGGGCTCGTATAACTCTTATCACAAGCCATCCATCCATCCATTGTGTCAAGCACATTTGTACATTTGTTGCCATCATCCTTCTCAAAGCATTTGCTTTCTGGTATCAGCTCCTCATATTTTCCCCTCCCTCCCCGACCTCCTCCCTTTAGAACCCTTGATAATTTATAAATTATTATTATTTTGTCATATCTTACACTGTCTGATGTCTCCCCTCACCCACTTTCCTGTTGTCCATCCCCCAGGGAGTGGGTTGTATGTAGATCCTTGTGATTGGCTCCCCCTTTCTACCCCACCTTCCCCTTCCCCTCCTGGTATCACTACTCTCATTATTGGTCCTGAGGGACTTATCTGTCCTGGAATCCCTGTGTTTCCAGCTCTTATCTGCAGAATTTGGATCATGATGGGGGGGGGGGGGAGCCGAAGCATTAAAGAACTAGAGGTAAGTTTTATGTTTCGTTCGTGCTATACAATATTTGTCTTATTCATGTGTAATACTATTGTGTGTGGGTGTGCATGTGTGTGTGTATTTTAAGGTAAACCATGAGGTGCAGACTACTTTTAACTTTAATGATTTAGTTGGACAGTCTACATAACAGAATTCAAATAATCCAAGGTGAAGTAGGACTACAGGACTTTCTGGAGATAACAGGTGTACAGGCAGAGATAGTTGTACATATTTACAGGAAATTTCTCTACTGGTATTGACTGATACGCTCTTCTTTAGTCTACATTACAGCAATTCTAGTGTACATTATCTCACCAGTATACAATGACTTTAAAGTCATAATTTTATTTTGTGCAAAATTGAGACATTCTACAGCACATTTCAAAGCACATAAGGAACAATGATGAATTGTGAAATTCACAACAAATATACGTGACTGAGTTCATTCAATATTGTGAGAAACACACAATAGAAAGTTGGAGGGATGACCCATGCTTTGGTTATGGGATTACACCTATCCCCAAAAAATAAAGGGATAAAACAACAGCAAACTCATGTTTCAGTAACCCAGCAAGTTCCCAGTGGGAGCAATTCGAAAGGGTCCATTGTATGTGAGAGTGAGAACAGTGGCATTGAGTGCCATTCTCCTGGTTTTCTTTCCAGAAACACAACCTGAGAGCCCTTCAGCCTCAGCCTCTGTGGTAGTTACATAATCTGCTGGCAATTTGAGGATTAAGAGTGTAGGGGTGAGTCTAGGCTGTCAATCAGGATATAGTCAATGAGGCCTTTGTATGGGCATGACCTTCTCCTGAGGATTCTGTATTTCCTACTTGGAGGTGGGAGACTCTCTCTCTCTCTCTCTCTCTCTCTCTCTCGGCTCACTCTCTGTGACACATCCCTGCGGAGAAGACACATGGAGATAGGCTGATGGAGCCAGACCTCTGGAGCTGGAGAAGCCGCATAGAAACCCATGCCAGCGCTGAGATGCTTGGCCACTGACACCCATGGAGCTGGTTTATAGGAACTAGAGAAGATGAGAGCAGGTTGACTGATCTTCAAGTTCATGGCCTACACAAAGGAGCTAGGCTTGTTGAGATTTTGTGATGCACCCATGGTCTAAAGGTGAGGTGTTCAATGGACACCTGGCGAGGCTGAGAAAGCCCACAATGAGTTGACCAAAACCCAGCCAGATGAAGAGAAGATTTTTGAGCCTATAAACTGGTACATATTGCTACTGACTTTATGGATGGCTTGTTCTGATTTGACTTTGCTTATGGTTGCGGACTTCACAAGGTTCCAACCGGAAAGAAGATTCTTCACATCAAAGATTAGGATTGTCTCCTCAGAGCACTGGGTTGATGTAAGTGGGCAGAATAGAAATTGATACGCAAAATGGTGGGGGATAAAGGCATGAAGTGGTTGGCTTACAAACTGTCATAGGTAGGGGAATATTTTCACTGGATTATAGGATTAAGGTGTAGGTGTTACTTAACTGCAATTGTTAGGCATAGGGTATTTTTGTTTCATTCACTTATAGAATGTTATGTTTAAATGAAAGTGGCACATTTTTAATTGTATGCATTTTATCCTATTAGGTACAGATATGATTTTATTATTGTTTGTTTGAAAGTTATATATGGCTACAGAGTTATGTGAAAGCGTCAAATTGACAAGGGTTGTTCTGTGGTAGTTGCATAATCTGGTGTCAATTTGAAGATTAAGAGTGTAGGGGTGAGTCTAGGCTGTCAATCAGGATATAGCCAATGAGGCCTTTGTATGGGCATGGCCTTCTCCTGAGGATTCTGGGAACTTCTGTATTTCCTCCTTGGAGGCGGGAGACTCTCTCTCTCTTGGTGCTTACACTGCCACTGGATCCACAAGACCGTCCACCCCCTGGCCTGTGATCTTCCTGCATTTGGCATCATTGCATGTGTTTCATGAGTCTGAAGAGGACTTTATAGATTGGTATCAAACATATGGACCATTATCGGGCTTATAGACTTGATCTGGCCTCTATTGCTCTTGTACAAAAAGCTCTTTCTTCTTTTTTTTGGTTTGTTTTTTGTTTGTTTTGTTTTCTAATCATTTTATTAGGGGCTCATACAACTCTTATCAAAATCCATACACACATCAATTGTGTAAAGCGCATTTGTACATTCATTGCCGTCATCATTCTCAAAACATTTCCTCTCCACTTAAACCCCTGGCATTAGGTCCTCATTTTTCCACTCCCCCCACTCCCTCCCTCCCTCATGAGCCCTTGATAATTTATAAATTGTTATTTTGTCATATCTTGCCCTGTCCCATGTCTCCCTTCACCCACTTTTCGGTTGTCTGTCCCCCAGGGAGGAGGTCACATATAGTTCCTTGTAATCGGTTCCCTCTTTCCTACCCATTCTCCCTTTACCCTCCCTGTTTTGCCACTCACACCACTGGTCCTATAGGGCTCATCCATCCTGTATTCCCTGTATTTTCAGTTCCTATCTGTACCAGTGTACCTCCTCTGGTCTAGCCAGACTTGCAAGGTAGAATTCGAGTCATGGTAGTGGGACCGGGGAGGAAACATTTAGGAACTAGAGGAAAGTTGTATTTTTCATCGTTGTTACATCACACCCTGACTGGTTCGTCTCCTCCCCGAGACCCCTCTGCAAGGGAATCTCCATTGGCCTACTAATGGGCTTTGGGTCTCCACTCCACACTCCCCCCATCATTCACTATGGTAAGATTTTTGGTTCTGATGATGCCTTATACCTGATCCCTTCGACACCTCGTGATTGCATAGGCTGGTGTGCTTCTTCCATGTGGGCTTTGTTGCTTCTGAAAAAGCTCTTTCTTATGCACATATGAGTGTGTCTATGAATTTGTTTTTCTAGTCTACCCTGACTAACACAGCCTCTGAGGACTTCTGGCTTCTCGAAGCTCCTCCACCGAGTAGCTGGAAATAGAATTCTTCTGGTCCCTGGTTCCTGGAGAATAGTTTCATTCCTGCAAAGTTAACAAGAGTCAAGAAATCACAGACAGCACACACAAGAAGTGGGTTAAGGAGAGTGTGTTCTGGGGGGTAGGAAAATTCCCTGGACCATTTCATTACAATGGAAAAGGATGCCAGTATTTACCAGGTCTCTTTTCTCCCCCCTCAAGAGGACGAAGCTTCCAGAGCTGCTGTGCTTCACAGGAGTTGAACCATGTCCTGCACCTAATAAAGCCAGAGGATACATTTAGGGTTAGTCTGACTCAGCATATTTCCCCCCAAGTTCTCTTTTAGGGGGCCAAATGTTAGCAGTTGAATTAAATAGACCATATTAAAGCAGACAACATGCTCTATCAAATACATAGCAGTCAATTTACAAAACAGTGGAAGAGGACACCAAGGTAAAGGGAGATGGGAATGCAAGTGACTTCCCTAAGCCTAGAATCTGCACCTCAAAAAAAATAAAATATCACCACATATTATAAACTTTTGGATTTTTTGTGCAGCAAAGGATTTTATCAACAACGTGAAAAGACAACCTACAGAATGGGAGATATTATTTGGGAACAATATATATCTGATAAGAATATAACAATAAAAAAGAATATAACAATAATAAACAATTTACAAATAACTTCTACAACTCAACAAAATAAATAAATAACAATTAAAATAAGGGAAATTCAACCAGAAGAAAACAATCAATTTTATAAAGACAGAAAGAACCTTAAATGTATAATGTTAACTGAAAGAAGGCAGTCTATAAAGGTTACATATTATAAAATTGCAACTGCATGTAAAACTAGAGAGAGAATGAGAAGATCAGAGGTTGCCAGGCGTTGAGGTGGGTTGAGACAAACAAACTCACTGCTATCAAGTCAGTTCCGACTGATAGCAACCCTGTAGGACAGGGTAGACTGCATCTGTGGGTGCCTGTGACTCAGCATATTCTGTGTGAACATTAACAAACTGCCCCACAACCCTCGATTCTATCACATATGCATATTTTTTTCCAGAGTTGGTAGCTTTCCCAGATGCCTCAGATGACCTCTGGGCCCAAGAACAAGTCTCCATCCCAATTGCTGAATTGACCACTAAAATCAGGGGTCTCCCAATGCACACTGGAGGAAATGTTTCATACTTAAGTACAAATTAAAAATTGAAGTCAGACCTTTGAATAGGAATAATATCAGTAAACTAGTACCTTTGGCCCTGTTCTTTAAGCCTTAGATGGACTTAATTTTTTTCAGTGTATATATAAAATCTAACTTTCAGGTAATACATACATATGGATTTATACATGTTACTATATCACCAACCACAAGAGAAGAGATCTATGATAAATTATTGGCAAAGTTAGAGGGTTAAATTTACCACAGTGAATGGATAAATTATATAGAAAGTTATGGATGAATTTACTGTACAGTAAAATATTAAAACAAAAAGAATAAAAGACATCTCTTGTCAGAGGAGACCAGCCCCTGACAACTGATCATGGGCAATTGTATGGCTATAATATATAAAGATTACAGTAAAGTCATAGAGAATAAGAGAGATAGGAGAGAGAGTAAAATAATGGAGTTATACACATTTCATGGTAGCATGCTCACCTTGGCCCCACTTTATGGTCCACGTGGAGGTGTAGAAGGAGGAGGGAAGAGGGAGAGGGAATGGGGAAGGAGGGAAGGAGGATAGAGAGATTTATTTCTAACCAAGGCTCATATATACAAGCCCCTTGATTAAAGGTAACCACATACATCATACGAAGAGGTTGCACCATAGGCAATGCAGCAATGGGAGGGGATGGTCTTAGGGTCTAAATGCTATAGGAATAGAGGGGGCTAAGGGTTCACATGTGACAGTGGTCTGATTGTTCTGGATGGCTGATGCCTTCAGGGAGATAACTTGACAATAATTTACCATTAGTTGCAAGCAGTGTCCTAGGTCTGACATATCTGGGGGAGACATGCTGGGGAAAAGCCTTTTTATATCCCCCAATCCCTCACCTAAAGAAATGAATGTTTGCAGTTTTGAAGCAAAGCTTGCCATATGCTGTTCATCTATATCCACTCACATTTTAAAATACTGCTTATGTGAAATGACTTGGCTGAAGGAAAGAACTTTCAAGAATTTTAATGTAAGGTGGAACGTGGGCGTGACTCAACTCTTTTGTGGTCCCATGTAGCTTCAGTGAGACATCACCAAAAGCTTTTGTGCTGGCCTGGCTAGGGGTGGGGCTTGGGGGTGGTTGGGGGGAACAGGGTCAGTGGAGGGAAAGAGCTCTACCATTCACAGGGGAAGGGCCCAAGAAGCCATTCTGAGGAGGGCAGTGTCTTGTCACTCATGAGACAATCTCTTCCGTCAAAACGCCTGACTGTTTCCAAGATAATGCATGTATTGCCCTGGAAAAAAGGTTACTTTACTTTCTAACAAACTATGCCCTAACTTTCTGCAAGTCAGGTCTTCCAAGTATCTTAAGGTTCCTTAAAATGGCACCCCGTCTTGTAACTTTACTCTGTTAGGGATAATTTCCAAGCTTCAAGGTAAAGTATAAATGGACTTGAATGAGCTAGAGAAGACCAAGTGTGATACCAGAAACCAAATAGAAAATACACTTTTAAGTAAGGATGCCATACCTGTGTGTCACGTGGGTGGTCTTCCTCCTTTGATCGACCCTCTCCCTTTCGGCAGCATGCGTTCTGACCTGTTGAGGGAAACAACCCTCTGCTGAGTTGTGACAGACCGTGCACACGAGGAAGAAAAGCAGACAGACAAAAACTCACCCAGGAGCCATGAGCTTTCCACTCAATCTTAGCAGTCTGGAAAAGAGCACACAGCACAAGAGCCACTATAATCATGTGCATCAGGTGTGGAGCACATGAGACGGAGCAGAACAAATGCTACCCGGTGTCTAAGTCAGCACTCTGGACGATCCAGATTCTCTCGCATTCTGTGACCCTTTGCCTATGAGTTACAATGGTCTGTAAGAGTGAGTGAAACAGTATTAAATAATACACCCAAACTTCAGTTCCCTGAGTGATGTATTATTTTTTTAATTCACACACATGTATACATAATCACATAGTTCTAAGAGTTCAGTAAACAAGAAGTATTATTACTCAGTTTCCTTACTTATTTTTGAAGGTCGGGAAGTTCTGAGTTGATATATAATCATGTCCCTAACTGTTCTCTATGTCCCCAATCAATCCTGCTACTAATATTTTCCTCCATTAATCTTCCCCAGGGTTGTAACACCTGGTTCTATCCAATGGCATAATCACTTCTATGGTCTATGCTTCATAAATGCATTCAAAGCATTCAGAAATGCTTCCCCAAGAACCATGACAGGTAGCACTGCTCTCGCAGGAACATGTGTGTGTGAATGCCGCCCCCCACAGATAGCCCAGCATTGAGATCAGAACATTTTGGGGGTCTAACATGTTTTCACTTGTAACCTTACATTTTACTCTTGTGTGATTTATCCATGAGCATGCCTTCTAAGTCTAAACAACAGGCCATGTTGAAGACAAAAGGACCGAGAGGCTGCTATAAGCCATTGGCATCTAGTAGCTAAACTCACTTGTATTTGGTCACTTCCTCCACAGCCAATGATGCGTTTCCCTCTACTTCCGACAGCTGTCTCTCCCTTGCCTGGCATTCATATTCCTTCTGTCTCAGCTCCCTAAGATAGAAACAAAATCCAAACACTACCCAGCTGCCATGTGAAACCCTTTTCACCCACCACTCTGGCAGCCTGAGTCAAAGACCTCTTACCACCCTTTGTATTACATAGGCATGGGTTTACAAACACAGAAAAATCCAAGCTCCTACAATCAGCTGGGGCAGAGCCTTCTGTGCACTGCTGAGAAGCCTGGGACTAGCCCAGGGGCTGGGGGCACTTGAACTGGGGACTCTTGGACCCTGTCATCTGGCTGACTGTTGGTGACCTGTTCTGCTGTTTGCTGCCTGTGCTGGACTGCCTGTATTACTCTACAGAAGACTCAGCTGTCTGCTTCCTTGACTTTCACCCAACACCCCTTGTGAGTCCATGGAGCCGAATGCCCTGGCATAGTCAATAAAACACATAAAATTTCTTCTGATATTCTCTGCTTCCAGCCAAAATCCACTGGACAGCAGCAATGATATCCCTTGTTCCACATCCTCTTCCGAATCTGGCCTAAACCTCTTGCAACTGCCTTTCAATGTATTACTGCATAAGCTGGTGAATGATATTCAGTGAAATTTTACTTGCATGTGATGTCAATTATATTGTTCTATAATTTGATCATTCTATTGGGTCACCTTTCTTTGCAATGGGTGAAAACATGGATCTCTTCCAATCAGCTTACCAAATAACTGTCTTCAAAATTTCCTGGTACAGTGCTTCCAGTTCTTCATTGGCTTGTTGAAATATTTCCATGGTATTCCATCAATTCCTAGAACCTTGTTTTTGGCTAATGCTTTCAGTGCAGCTTGATGGTTCTTCCTTCAGCACCATTGATTCTTGGTCATATGCTACCCTCTGAAACGGAATGTCAACTAATTTGGGGGGTACAGTGACTCTGTGTATTCTTTCCATCTTCTCTTTATGCTTCTTGCATCATTCAATATTTTGTTCATCGAATCTTTCAATATTGCAACTTGAGGCTTGTTTTTTCTTGAGCTATTTCAGTTTAAGATATGCTGTGTTTTTTCTTTTTAGTTTTCTAACTCTAGGTCTTTCCACATTTCATTATAATACCTGACGTTGTCATCTTGAACTGTTCTTTGAAATTTTCTAGTTAGCACCTTGACTTCATTATTTCTTCCATTTGCTTCAGCTGCTCTATGATTGAGAGTAAGTTTCAGACTATCTTCTGACATCCACTTTGATCTTTTTTTTCTTGCCTGCTTTTCTAATGACTTTTTGCTTTCATAAATGATATTCTTTTTTAAATCATTTTATTGGGGCCTCTTACAACTCTAATCACAATCCATACATACATCCATTGTGTCAAGCACATCTGTACATTTGTTGCCATCATCATTCTCAAAACATCTGCTTTCTATTTGAACCTTTGATATCAGCTCCTCATTTCCCCCCTCCCTCCCTACTCCCTCATGAACCCTTGATAATTTATAAATTATTATTGTTTTGTCGTATTTTACACTGTCAAACATCTCCCTCCACCCACTTTTCTGTTGTCCATCCCCCAGAGAGGAAGTTATATGTAGATCCTTGTAATCGGTTCCACCTTTCTATACCACCTTGCCTCCACACTCCCGGTATCGCCACTCTCACCACTGGTCCTGAAGGGATCATCTGTCATGGATTCCCTGTGTTTCCAGTTCCTATCTGTACCAGTGTACATCCTCTGATCTAGCCAGATTTGTAAGGTAGAATTGGGATCATGATAGTGGAGGGGAGGAAGCATTTAAGAACTAGAGGAAAGTTGTATGTTTCATTGTTGCTACCATGCACCCTGACTGGCTAGTCTCATCCCCGCGACCCTTCTGTAAGGGGATGTCCAGTTGCTACATACGGGGTTTGGGTCTCCACTCTGCACTCCCCATCATACACAGTTATATGATTTTTTGTTCTTTGATGCCTGATACCTGATCCCTTCAACACCTCGTGGTCACACAGGCTGGTGTGCTTCTTCCATGTGGGCTTTGTTGCTTCTCAGCTAGATGGCTGGTGTTTACCTGCAAGCCTTTAAGACCTGAGACGCTATATATTTTGATAGCTGGGCATCATCAACTTTCTTCACCACATTTGCTTATGCACCCATTTGTCTTCAGCAATCATCTCAGGAAGGTGTGCATCATGGAATGCCAATTTGATAGAATAAAGTGTTCTTGCGTTGAGTAAATAAAATACTTGAATGGAGGTCCAATGTCCATATTCTTAATGTCCTCCACAGCTCATGAGATCTTCTGTCATTACTGTTGAATGCATCAAATCTGTTCTTGAGATGTTTTCAAAATTTCAAATTTTTGGCTCTCAAGGACTTGCTTTAATTTTTTTCAACTTTAATCTGCACTTACATATGAGCAATTGATGGTCTGTCCCACCAGTGGGCAGCTGGCCTGGTTTTAACTGCTGCTATTAAGTTTTTCTGTCATCTCTTCCCAACAAACTAAAATCCAAACTCACTACCATTGCATTGATGTTGACTCCTAACAACAATAGAGGACAGGATAGAACTTCCCCTGTGAGTTTCTGAGATTGTTTATGGGAGTAGAAAGCCTTGTAATTCCACTGCAGCGTGGCCAGTGGTTTCAAACCGAGGGCCTTGTGAATCGGAGCCCAAAGCATAACCACTATACTACCAGGGCTTTTCTTTTCCCATAGATGTAGTCAGTTTGGTTTCTGTGTATTCTATCTAGAGAAGTCCATGCATATCATTGCCTGCTGTGCTATTAAAAAAAACTGCTATGAACAAATCATTGCTCCTGCAAAACTATCATGGGATTTCCAGCTTCGTTTCTATCACCAAGTGCATGTTTTCCAACAAGTCCATGGCCCCTTCCTCTTTGTTTCCAACTTTTGCATTCCAACCCTAAAAATTAAACATTTAAATGTATCGAAAGACTCCACCAGTAGACTAAAAAGAGAACCTATACATTTTTGGCAAGAACATCTGACAAGAAATTAATATCTAAAATTTATAGAAATGTTCAACATGTCAACAACAAAAAGACAAACAATCCCATTTTAAAATGGGCAGAAGAGCTGAGCAGACACTTCATCAAATAAAATATTCAGAGTTCAACGAACTTATGAAGAAATGTCCACAAACTTCAATTATTAGAGATGCAGATTAAAACAAAGAGATATTCTAACCCTAATTTCAAAGTTACAAACAAGATAAAATATGAAATAACAAGTGTTGGTGAGGGTTCTTCCTTAAAAAGTTCGAAGAGGACAGCATATTATGCAGAAATTCCACTACTAGGTTTATAGCCTAGAGAAATAAGAGCTGTGATAGTTTGTGAGGAAAACTACTACCTTTTAATTCCATTTTCCATTAACTTTTTGAAGTCCCTTCATATATGCCCAGGCATGTTCATCACAGCACTCTTCACAGCAGTAAAAAGAGGGAAGTAACCTAAGTGCCCATCAACAGGTGAATGAATAGACAAGCTATAATGCATGCACACAACGGAAGGCTACGTGGGATGATGAAGGTAAAATAATGATGAATTCATGGAACACATTTTAACATGGATGAACCTAGAGGACATTATGTTTAGTGAACTAAATCAGTTACAAAAGGACAAATATTTGATGAGACCACTAATATAAACAGTCAAGAAGTAGTCAGCACAGAGATAGAAGCATTCTTTGATGGCTACCAGGGATGGGAGGGAAATGAAGGGTAAATCACTAACCAGAGGAAGTAGCTGTGCATACACTTGGGTGATGGGTGTGGCAATACACAATAATGGACAGGTCAAGAAAAGTGACCACGGGAATAAAGGACACTGGACGGAGGATAAGGATTAATGGCAACATAGATAAGTGCCATTACTCACACAACTAATCCTGCAGTAACAGTAATAACAATATGCCATGAGCGGATATAGAGATAGACTTGAAAGTTGACCGGGTGTGAGAAGGCAAATTGGAAGGCACCTATATGTAGATTTGGCAGGTTATTTTGATGTGTGTATTTCTATATACTGAAAATATATCCATAGATAAAATAGAGCTTACAAGGCTTTCTTCACTCCATGGGAGAAAGATGGGGGTAGTGTAGGTGTTGTTCCTGTAAAGATTGAAAGCCTCAGAAAGCAACAGGGACAGTTTTATTCTGTCCTATAAGGTTGCTAAGGCAGTGAGTTTGACTTAAAGTGAGGCAAAGTTGGCAGTTTAAAACTATCAGCAGCTCTGAGAGAGAAAGACTAGGCTTTCTACTCCTGTAAACAGTTAGTCTCAGAAATCCACAGGGGCTCATCGCTATGAGTCAGCACTGACTAGTTGGAAGTGAGAGAAAGTTATAAAAATTTTAAGACATGATAAAAAAAATTCAAGGAAAGAATTGCTGGGCCTGAGGAATCAGGATCATAGTCGTGGGGGCAACGAGATCAAATGGTATAACATAGTTCACAAAGACAATGTTCTATATCCTACTGTGATGTGTAGCAACTAAAGTCTTCTGAAAAGTCATGTAAGGTGCAACTATTGGTCTCTTTCCATCCAAGGGAAAGAATGAATGATGTATTAAAATGTATGAAAAAAATTAGTTCAGTGGACTAAAGGACCACACAAACATCAATTTCTGTACCTCTGAAACCAGAAGAACTCAGTGGTACTTGGCTCCCACTTCCATCTGTTCTGAAAAGGATCACATTAGAAGGTCCTGGATGAGAGAAAAAGTGTAATAAAACCCCAAATCATAAGAGACCCAGCTTACTGGTGAGGTTCTCATCATCCTTAAGTTGGGAACCGAACTCACTTCTGAGTTAATCAACCATATAAGATCAAAAGGGCCTCATTTCTACAAGGACAAACTACAGAGAGCTAGGAAGGAGGAAGAATAGATACAAGAAACACAGAGGAAATGACATCAGTTATGGCACATTGAGGTGATTACAAAGAGTTGAAACAAAATATGTATGAATTGGTGAATATAAAACTGAGTATCTGCTTTGTAAACCTTCACAAGAAAGTGTTTTCGAAACACTTGTGAGCAACCATCTAAAATAAACTCATGATCTCTCCCTATCCATAGCAAAGAAGAAGGAAGAAAATCACAGAAATGAGGAAACAATGAACCTTGTGAGGAAACATGTGAACCTTACCTTCCATGACCTGGAGATCATGGTTGGTGCCTGTCTGTCCCTACTGACTACTCTGACTGGCATCATACGAGAATGTCTTTAATAGACTGAGAGGAAAATGTGGAAAACATAAAATCTTAAACCAACCTCATTAGCAATTACCCATAACAGCAAAGATCTCCATTTGCTTGATCTCTAACCCACTGGCACGTATTGTGTGAGACCTGGGTGATAAATCTATTAGCTTTGACCATAAAACTTAGAAACTTGGAACTCTGATGACTCTGCCTGCTGCCACAGCCCTCAGACATCAGCTAGAGGGACTTCTCAGACCACTCACAAATGGTATATGCTTAATTCAAAGGACTTGGACTCTAACCACTCTGACATAGTGGTTATAATCATTCATTCTGATTCTCTGGTTCAAAGGGATCTTATAGTCCCTTGTCATAACTAACTTGCAGTACACTAAGTGAGTGTGTGCACATCAAACCTCCCAGTCTTTCTGAACTTATTTTAAAACACAAGCATACAAAGCAAATGGCAATTTTCATCCCCTATGTTGGCCAATGGCAAGTGGAGTGGGATGCTCAGGTCATCCGACCCATAGGCTTAAAGATACACTCTAGATCAACGCTTCTCAACCTGTGGGTCGCAACCCCTTTCACAGGGGCCGCCTAAGACCATGGGAGAGCACATATTCCTGATGGTCTTAGGAACCGAGACACCACTCCTCTGTCTGGCTCCAGGCGGGTCCGCCCACATGCAGATACGCCCACATGAGTACCGGCATGATGACATCATCGCGCCAATCCCATCACACACACCCTGTACAGATACAGGTGTATGTGACAGGGTTAGCGCCATAAGGTACTTATGTGGGCCAGTAGTCACACATGTGTAGAGAGCAGCTACTGTGTAGAGAGCAGCTGCTGTGTTGAAAGCAGCAGTATTGGATGTAAAATGACACTTCATGAATTATAATTACTGGGTAAATGTAAAATCATCAACTGCTGCTGCTAACACACACACACACACACACACACACACACACACACCATCGGAACTTAATCTGGATGCAGATCAGTCTTTTTATATTCAGCTGTGGTTGATGTGAATACTGCCCCCTTGTGATAATAAGAGGTATGTAAAAAAAATAACAATGGTAAATCATAGGAAACTTTAATGAACAGTATTGACTGAACTATGCCATGTATCATCTTTTGTATTATTAAAGCTATTGTTATATATTATTTTCATTAGCAAACCAGCCCATGATAATGGATCCTGTAGAGAAGAACGTTAAGAAAAGAAAATATAGTGAGGATTTTTTACAGTATGGTTTTACCTCAACAATTACAACAGGAATTGAGAAACTGCAATGTGTTATTTGTGGTGAAGTTCCATCAGCTGAATCTATGAAGCCAAACAAACTAAAATGCCATTTGATAGCAAGCTTTGCTGGCAAGGTTACCAACCATTTTAGAAGCAAAGCTGATGGACTCAAGAAAGCCAGACTTGACACTGGTGGCTACAAAATGTAGCAGTCGTTGAAGCTTCATATTCGGTGGCAATCAGAATCACCAGAGCTATAAAACCTCATACCATTGCTAAGGATTTACTGTTGCCAATGGCCACAGACATTGTTCAAGTTATAATCACAGATGAATTTGTTACGAAATTGAGTGCAATTTCCTTAACTAACGACACTATCCGCAGAAGAATAGATGACATGCTGCTGAAATTCTTGATCAGGTAATCCAGGAAATTAAATCTGCTCTGCTTCCAATATTTAGCATCCAGCTTGATGAATCTACAACTGCTGTAAACTGTTCAGTTACTGGTTTATGTGAGTTATGTTAATAATGGTGACTTTAAAGATGCGTTTCCTTTCTGCAAACCTCTTGAAATGGCAACTACTGCATGTGATGTATTTGAGACAGTTGGTTCATTTCTGAAAGAGCATAAGATCTCTTGGGAAAAGGTTTGTGGTGTTTGCACAGATGGTGCTCCAGCTATGCTAGGATGTCAATCTGGATTTCAACGTTTGGCACTGATGAGTCACCAAAGTCATCGGACTCACTGTGTGATTCATCGGTAAATAGCAATGAAGATGCTGCCACAGAGTTACGAGAAGTAATGAAAACTGTCATACGTTCTGTTTCTGTCAATTTTGTAAAGGCAAGCACTTTAAACAGTCGACAGTTTTCGCAACTGTGCAATGAGTTGGATGTGCTGAACAATAAGAGTTTTAAAACGTGTTTTTGAACTTCATGATAAACTCAAAACATTTTTTAATCAGAAAGCAAGACCGCAGTTCAAAGCACTTTTCAGTGATAAAAGTAAACTGCAGAAAATAGCTTACTTGGTTGACATCTTTACCACCTTAAATGAGTTAAATTTATCACAACAAGGACCAAATGCAACATGCCTTGATTTGTCTGAAAAGATCTGATCATTCCAAATGAAATTTCAGCTTTGGCGGGGGAGGGGGGAATGGATGGAAATAAAATTTACATGTTGCCTACCTTATCTGCTTTCTTTGAGGAACATGTCCTTGCACCAGACAAAAAGATCACGATGATAATTTCTGTGAAAGAACACTTGCACATACTTGCAGATGAAATTTCATCGTACTTTCCAAATCTACCTGACACCCCATTTGCACTTGCCAGAAGCCCATTCACAAAGTTGAAGATGTTCCTGAGACAGCACAAGAGGAGTTCATTGAACTTATTAACAGCGATGCAGTAAGAACTGAATTCGGTACCATGCCAGTTAAAAAATTCTGGATCAAGTTGTATGCAGTCATATCCTGTTCTGTCTGAGACTGTGTTGCGCCTTCTTCCATTTCCAACAAATTATCTTTGTGAAACAGGGTTTTCCAGCTTGATATCACGTCTAATACAGAAGCAGACTAAATACAGAAGCAGACTTGCTGTGGAAGAGGATCTTTGCGGTGCTTTCGCAGACTGCCGTGAGAATTTCTGATCTGGTGAGAAAGAAGGTACCTCAACCTTCGCACTGCTGTTGGCTTTTTGTACATACTGTCGCAAAATGTAGCCTTGTAGTTTACTGTTGTTATATTAAGGCGGTTACCCATGCTCCAACATGCTTCAAGAGAAAATTTCATTTGTTTACAATTAGAAACATACATTTCACAATATAATTACATATTGTTTTTGTGATTAATCACTATGCTTTCATTATGTTCAATTTGTAACAATGAAAATACATCCTGCATATCATATATTTACATTATGATTCATAACAGTAGCAAAATTAGTTATGAAGTAACAATGAAAATAATTTTATCGTTGGGGGTCACTGTATTCAAGCCGGGTCGCGGCATTAGGAAGGATGAGAATCAGTGCTCTAGATAGTCCTCATAGTCCAGGGTTTGGAGGTACTATAGCTCAGCAGTTGTCTGCAGCACGCTCAACTGAGTGCACTTTCCCTGTGTTTGATGCAGTCGGTCCCACTGTCTTCCCTGGATTCTGACTGTGCAAGCGCTCAGCATAAGGCGCACCGGAAGGTCCGGAGGCAAAGGGCGGGTCTTCGCAGGCGTGTTCCCTTGTTCCGCCTCCTCGCCCTTTTCTTCCAATCACTTTCCTGTGCACTCCCAAGGCGTTTCCGCTTTTACCTAGTGGCCGGCTTCCGCCTTCCGGTTTGGACGTCCGGCCGCGCAGAGGGCCGTATTTGAGGCGCCAAACAGGCTCCGAGAGCCCCCGCCCCACGCGTCCGCGCCTGCCGGCCCATGGCCGCGCTGGTGGAG